GTTGGGAATGTGGTGTCCTTTGAACACTGGCAGGGCAACATAAAATCATTGACTAGAACATCTTTTTCTCCCCTCACCTCTTATTACAATTTTTTATTTTGCAACATCCAACCTGAGGAAGAGTTCTGATGAACTGGGAAGCTTGTGCACGGTTTTGTGTCATGGTTGCTGGTCCTAATAAAAGGTATTATGTGGATTGTGGTTTGCCTTTGGATTTTAACATTTGAGCGACTAAGGCAGAAGCCTGGAGGGGAAGAGAAAGCCAATTGCCCCGATCCACATGTATTTGAGAAATGGCAAATTGCTTCCAGGACTTCAGTTCTGGTTACTCATTTAATGGGTTAGGCTTTGTTTGCTTTTATAATGCCACACTCCTTGAGGCCAGATTTTTAAAAGACAAACCTACTGCGTGTGTGCTTGCGTGCGTGTGTGTTGGGTGGGTGGGGGGGATCCCCTGTGTGTCCCTCTTCCCTAGCCATCTATTTGTGGAGCTGCCTCTCTCCAGAGCACAACAGCCCCCTTTATTCTCAAGGCCTCCTCTGGCCCAGGCTGCATGGTGTGGGATACTTGCTAATAGCATTATGCTTATTCAATAAGAAGGTCGCTATGCCAGACAGAGGGCTCCATTCATCCAACCAGCCCCTGTCCCCTTGCTGCCCCAGCTCTGCTCCGCATCCATCCACAACTGTGAGGACTGCAAGGAGCTGTAGCGACCCTCCTGGCGCTGAGTAACTACTCCCCATAGTGCCTGGATAAAGCATGAAGTTACCAAAGCACACAGCCTATTCCCTACAGGGCTCACTCTCAGAAAGTGTGCCATAATGGCAGAGATGAGAATGCCTCTGAGCACATGCAGAGTGTCTTTTCCTCCCTACCGAACAACCACTTCTATGATTAGACAAAATGGATTCCAGATTGACTCTCCACAGTACAAAACAAGGGATGTCCAGAGGCTGGGCAGTTATTTTGGTAACATTTCGGTGGGAAGACCTTTTCTACATGTCCCACTAGGACACCAGACATCACACTCTTGTTCTGCGCAGATCTGCTTCAATTTCAGCCCCCCCCCGCCAATACTCCCAATCCCTCAAATCACAGAAACATGCCTGTTACCTGCCAAGATTCATAGGCAGCCAAACCACCTCTTACTCTAACCCCTGCCCAAAAATCTCCTGTACATGGTCTTTCCTTTTCTCAGGTCCACCACAGAGGCACCCCCTAATCACTGAAACTCAATATTTTCCCCTAGTTAAGTTGAATGAGATTGTGCATTTCTCAAGGACATCTCTCCAAGGATCTCCAGAGCAAGGCCTTCCCAGCAGCACTGCTACTGGAGGTCCTTTTAGCTAGAGATGCTACCAAGGACTGAACTTGGGTCCTTCTGCATGAAGAAGAGCTGCTCTGTCATTGAAACGTGGGCCTTTCCCAACAGAGTATGTGTGACCAAGCATATGAATGTAATGTCATAAGTGAGCACTACGGTTGTCAGCTCTGGGAAAGGAAATTCCTGGAGATCTGCAGGGTAGACCCTGGAAGAACAGAGTTTAGGGAGGGGCTGGAGCTCACTGTGGATGTTATGCCTTAAAGTCCTCCCTCCAAATCTGTCATGTACTCCTGGACCTTTTAGTCTGGAGATCAATCATAGTTCTGGGAGAACTCCAGGCCCCACCTGGAGGTTAGCAACCCCAGATCTGATGACTTTGTGGAGATAGGAAAAAGGAAAATGCCAGTGTGATGTAGTGGTTAGAGTATAGGATTAGGATATGGGAGAGCCAGTTTTGAATCCTGACTATGCCATGTGGATTTGGGCCAGTCACTCCTTCTCAACCTAATCTACCGCACAGGGTGGTTGTTGTGAGGATAAAATGAAGGAGGGGGAAACCATGTAAACTGCTCAGAGTCTCTATTGAGGAGAAAAACAAAAACATCAGGCTTGCTTTCCCTCCATGCGCTTGCTTACATGGTTTCTGTCTCTGTGAAGCATGAAACTGTTGTTTATCATTGTTAATCTACAAAAGCTAGTTGTGGTTACTGAGGAAAGAGAGAAAGGTACTTTTCACATGCTCAGGTGCGTATTTCTTCCTCACATTTCCCATGATTACTAATACGCTTCTAGCACTGAAACAGGGTTATGGTACTGAGTCCCTACATTCTCTGGCTCAGTTGAAGCCTTAGACTAGGGCCCCCGCCCCATCCTGCCCCAACATGTTAAGGTGTAAGGAGGCCTGGCCCAATGGAACAGCTGTATGCGTTCTGAGAAGTCCCACCCCCAACCAACTCTTGCAACATCACAGAACCTCTTGAAACAGCAAAATGAAATGGGCAGCCCTGTTTGGTAGCAGCCAGGATGGCCTGGGCCCTAGAATTATCCCACTGGGTCTAGTGAGGTGCAGCTGGAATTCTGTACAGTGATTAACTTTTCAAACAAGAAGTGCTGAGTCTTAGGCCTGCCCAGGCCCCACACTCTCTGCCCTTCTCCTGGTCCCAGAATGTATGTGAGATTTTCTACACACAGGTAGAGGGAGATATCCAGAGATGAGGGGAAGCACTCTGAACTAAACAAGAGGAAGCCTGGGGGTGGGGGAACAGGAAAAACACACACACACACCCTGATGGTGGTGGTGTCCCCCCCCCCCCCTTTCCATTTCCATTCTTTTCTGGCCCTTCACATCTTTACTGTGAACATGCTCAAAGAAACCTTCTATACTGTTACATGCTCAAATTATTATGGCCTGGTTCTTCACTAAGAGTATGAGGAAAACAGACTGGGGGGAGGGGAAGGAGGATTTCTGGGAAGGCGTGTGATCCATTTTAATGCCTCACGTTGTTATCCCGCCTGCCCTCCAAGGAGCTCATGCATCTCTCCCTTCTGCCCTCATTTTATGCTCACAACAAACCCCCTGAGGCAGGTTAGGCTGAGAGAAAGCATCTGCCCCAAGGTCAGCCAATGAGTTTCACAGCCTAAGTAGGCATTGGAACCCCCCACTCTCCTTGGTGAACTGGCATTAAAAAGAGTGTAAGGTAGCCTAGGAGTGGCATTCCCTGGCATTGGCATGGAAATAAGAGGGTAGCCATCTGAACGGAATTCAAAGAAGATTGTCTGGCTGGTGCTTGGAGAGGAGTGGGGTCCAACGGAAAGGAGCAAGGATCTCTGGGGCTGGGGCCGCGGTTGACAGAACTCCAGAGTTCTCGCCTGAGCTTCCCTGTGACCTTGCGCTTTTGCCACCTAGAGGTGACAGCTTGTGGGAGAAATACAGTTGCCAACTGCCTGGAGAAAAAATACGTCCTGTCCCTTTAATAGAGGCTTAGTGGCATGTTGTTTACCAAGAAATGTTATTTCCCTCCATGCCATGAAAAGCTTAAGATGCCCATTTCCCCACATTAAGCTTCTGTTAAAGAGACAAGGCCTTCTCTAGGCCTGTTAGCAACCTTACGACTAACACACTGGGTGTTCCTCACAAAGCTCCACGGCAGCTCTCAGAAGGGGCTGGGGTAAAGCCAGCGGCTCATTCTTCAAGTCATCAACCACACCCAGCTCTGTGGGATGGAGGCACAACCTCGCCACGTTCCCTGCTCCCACTGTGGGACAGCCCACAGCACTGTTTTCCCATAGCTGTAGGCAGCCCGAGAGCCTCATTCAAGGGGATGCAGCTGGAAGAAGCTCTCTGCGGCTCCCCCACTCTTCTAGGCGCAAGGAGGACAGAGATAAAATGTCGGGGGGGGGGGGTCCTCGTCTGGAACTTAAAAGCCCCCCAAGATGCTGCAGGCACTTTGGCCTGGCAAGCAGCCTCTCTTGGCAACACCCACTTGCGGAGACAAAAGGAAACCCCATTGTGACAGCAAGACTGGATTGGCCAGCCTCCCAGCTCTGCTGGCCAATGCGTATGTGGGAGGTCACCTCCACACAGTGATGGAGATGACATTTTCTTTGCTGCTTTTGTTATGTGATGGGCAGTTCGCCCAAGCTGCTGCCGTTGAACACCAAATGCACACACACACACACCCCAGCAGTTCAGCCACTCCCATCCTACGGCCAAGGGAACAGTGCCTGACAGCTCATGCAAAGGAATCCATCTAACACATGACAGCGCATAAACACAGGCAGGAGGCCCAATGGCTAAGGCCAGAGCAGGCCTGTAATTGACACAAAGATCCAGGATGGTTCAGCAGATAGAATATGGCCCTTGGCTCTGTTAAACTACATATGCAGCAAATGCACAATAGCTACCGTCCTGTCTGGAGGCTCAGTCTGTAGTGTGACAGAGAACCCTCTCTTCCACCCATGGTCAAAGAGTAAGGGAGAGTCCACTCTTTAGACCATCTGATTGGCTAAAGAATGAACATGTGCCTGTGAACGCCATGCGTGATTTTAGGAACCTCCTTCCCTCAATTTCCCACCTATATAGTGTGATTATAATGCCCCACCTCACAGGGCTGTTGTGGGAATGTACAAGAGCTTGTCAAACCCCAGCCACACATGAAAAACAATCACAAAACGTCCCTACAACAGCTTACCTTGTACTTTGTGGCTAGTAGCTCAGTGGCCTCTTGCTCCTTCCTCAGTTCCTCGATCATCTTCTCCTTCTCTTCCAATAGTTTTTGTTTGTCCTCATTCACCAGGCTGTGGTCATCTTGGATAGCTGCTTTCTCCTCCTCCAACCTCTCTTTTTGCTCCTTCAAGTAATTTTTCATGTTTTTCTCTAGACCCCCATCCTCATTGTCCTCTATTTCTTCAGCCTCGGGGGTTCCCTCCCCATCTAATGTCTTCTTCCTCCGGCTGTTCCTCCTCCTCTTCTTGCTCAGCATTCCCCGTTTCTCCAGCTGGGCCTTCAGGCGTGTGATCTCCTCTTGGAACTCCCGCAGCAGAGTATCTTTGGGGTCCTCGTTGACCCGGGGTTTGTTCTTGATATTTTTGGCCCTGTTGGCAAATCGGAGGGTAGACAAGCTCTCATCATAGCTATGAGAGGCTGGTCCCAGTGTGGCCACCATGATGGTCTTGGCATTGCCACCAAGGGAATCCTGGAGAAGGCGGGTGAGCTTGGAGTCCCTGTAGGGGATATGGGTGCTCTTGCCATCCACCAGGGCTGAGATGACATTGCCCAAAGCAGAGAGGGAGAGGTTGATCTTGGACGCTTCCTTTGGCCTTTCTCCCTGTGTCCCCATCTTGCTCTGCCGCTCACTCCCAGCCAAGTCCACCAGATTGAGCTTTCCTACCCGAATATGGTCTTCCCCGTCTGGGCCAATCTCGCTGCACTCCACGGTGATGACAAAGATGGCGTGTGAGCGGGAACTGTATTCATTCATGTTGGTGCTTCCCACTGATCGGTTCTGGTTTCCCAAGTTCATGACATGCTCAATCTCTTTCACATTTTTTGTCACAAACGACGAAAGGTCCTTGATGTAAACACCAGTTTCTGGGTTCTCTTTGAGCTCCATCTTCTTACTCTGGTCTTTGGCCAAGAGATCTCTGATCTCCTCTTGATAGATCTCCAAGTAGGAAGCTCTGACCAAGTACTGCTGGTTTTGTGAGCGAGAGATATGGGTGAAAATGTGCTCAAAAGAGTTGGGGATCACACCTCTCTTCTCAGAGTCGGCCCAGATCCCTTGCATAGTGTAGGTCTTCCCAGTGCCAGTCTGACCATAGGCAAACATAGTGCCATTGAACCCTTGTAGAACTGAATCTATCAAGGGCCGGACAGTCTCGTCATAGAGGTCCGCCTGCTTGGAGTTGGCATCATAAACAGCATCAAAGGTGAATGTTTTTGCCAGCTCCCCTGGGGTGGCTTTGGGGTTCCGGATAGTCACTTGGCCCAGCTTCACATCCATGTCCAAGATTCTCTCGTAGCCGGTGGCTTCCTCTTTCCTGTTCATCGGGCGGCAGCGGACGACCACCTTCAGTGCCTCGCTGATTTTGGGCCTGTTAGCCATCTTGAACCAGTTGCTCCTGCCCAGCTTCAACTATCAGGTATGGGTGGTGGGTTTGACAGGCATGAGGGCTTTTTCCTTCCTGGGATAACGTTGCTGCAGCAGCGGTGCTCACAGAGTGAAGGTTGCGGTTATTCGTATCTTCTCTTTTGCACAATGGATGCAGTTAGGCATGAGCCATTCAGGGCATCCCACCCTGGATCGCAGACCACCCATCCTGGCTCATTCCGGAGGGAGAGGAAGGGGAGGTTGTTGGATTTCAGTACTCTCTCCTGGTTTTTTGTTTGTTTTTTTGGTGATGAAGAGTGGAGCCTTCCTTCCTCCCAGTCTAATGCTTGAATCTTCCTAGTGGATCCATCAGCAGCTCTGGGCGATAGTGCCGGGAAGGGCTAGCATGCTCCTGCGCTGGATGCTCATTCATTGCAGCTCAGCAGCAGCTGCTGCCCTCTGTGTATGTGAGAGAATGAGGGAGGAAAACAGAAGGGGAGTGGAGAGGGAAGGGGAGGGGGAGAGGGAGGGAACGAGCGCCTGGGGGGATGCTGCTGCTGATCTGATGCGGGGAGGGGGGCTGCAGAGCGCCTGGTTTGCTGGCATGGAATGAGAAGCCAAGCACAGAAGCAAGCGCCTTCTCGTCCTCAGACCCTGCCCACCAGACTGCGAACATCAAGCCCCTCTCGGCCGCCACTCCCATTGGACGCAAAGCATGCTGGGGGGTGTAGTCCTGCCTTTGTTGCAGCCTTCGTACACCAAAAGGATGCTGCCGGGAGCCCCGGATGGCAGAAGGGATGGCAAAGGCGGTGCTTCTTAAAGGGACAGGGAGCTGGTACCCAGAGCTGCTCAGGAATACGGAGCCACCATCCAGACTTCTTACAACAGCAAGATACCACAGCCAAAATGGGAATGGCTCTTCTGCAAAAAAAAGAAAAGGCTAAAGGCCAAGGCACATTCAGACATTTGGCATTTGTTTAAAGGCTTGGTCGTGCAGCGTCCGGTTTCTGTAGCCCGTAGCTCATCCCAGTTTTCTCTCTGTTATACTGTCGTGACAGGCATTATGTGAGTGACTCCAAACGGTCACACTAGTGACTCTGAGCATAATTTGGACACAGCACTTCTTCCTGGTGCACCGTTTTAAAGGACAAGCACCGTGTGTTGCTCTTTACTTATGTCACTGGGGATTGCGAAGACACAGAGGTGAGCGTTGAGCCAAGATTCTGGTCTATGCAGATGCAGCTATACCCTGAGGCAAGGGCTGACTCTCTTCAGCGGGGCTTTTGCAGAACAACTTTCCAAGGGATTGTGCCCCCCCCCCCCATGTTAATGAAAAAGCTGATAAGCAGGATATGTTTGGACGGCACCTGGCTGAAGCTAAATAGATCTAGGTCTGGTCAGTGTCCGAATGGGAAGCCTCATGGGCATGCTGCCAAACACAAACAGACAAATAAGGGAAGGGTGGCGCCAACTGAATTTTCCATTTTTACATCACCCCTGGAACTACTGTGTGTTCACAAAGGTAAAAGGAGATAAAAGGAGAAATGTCACAGACAGTATTTCTTGTATTTCATAGCTTTTTGACACCACTGTTTACATCAATTCCTTGCCTATCTGTCTGTTTATATCTGCCCACAAAGGATGGACTAGCAGCCCTAATAGGCCAGACTAGTCTGATCTCAAGCTTAGATTCAGGTGGGGTAGCCGTGTTGGCCTGAAGCAGCAGAACAAAGTTTGAGTCCAGTGGCACCTTTAAGACCAACAAAGTTTTATTCAAGATACAAGCTTTCGTATGCATGCAGACTTCTTCAGATACAGTAACAAAACTTTTTCCACCATTACATATCGGTGTGGGGGAGTTAGTTGCCAGGAAGAGCTAGTTAGAGTCAAGATGCATAAATAACTGGGCAATTATAGCTGACTGGATTAAGATGGTTGGTAACATAGAATCATAGAATCGGAAGGGACCTCCAGCGTTATCTAGTCCAACCCCCTGCACAATTAGCAAATTCTCAAATACCCCCCTCCTGTGAATAGCAATGAATTAGCATACAAATATAAGAGTTAGCAAACAGATGTAAGAACTGAGTTTGAGTCCAGTGGCACCTACAAGACCAACAATGTTCAATTCTGGGTATAAGCAAGAACTGAGAGACTTCGCATGTGTAGAACCACACTCCTTCAGATACACTGAAACCAATTTCCTCAAACTTTACATATAGGTAGAGCTATATGCCAGGAGGAGCTAATTAGAGTCAACATGCATAAATAACTACGCAATAAATAGAGCTAAGATTGGAATAATGCATTTGGTAAGATCTGTGGATAGCAGCAAATTGACATACAAGTGAGGGAATTCTGTTTCACTGTAGCTGAAGAAGTGTGCTTGCACACAAAAGCTTATACCTTGTGTGGAGAAATGCCATTTTATGTATATGTTTAAGTTAGGCTTGCCAAGTCTCCCCGAGGGGTTGGGAAACCCCCGCCCCAGAGGCCCGTTCCCTGCCGCCGGCGGATCGGGCCCTGGGAGGAACGCCACCCCCAAAGCACGCGACGTGCACGTCACCCGGAAGTGACGCGACCACTCCAGGCACGCTGGGGGTGGGGCCACGGTCATCTGAGGGAAAACTCCCAGAGCAGCACTGGAGCCCCCCGCCGCTTTGGATTTGGCAACCCTAGTTTAAGTTGGTGTGGGCCAGATAGGAGGGGACCATCAAACCTGAGGTAGGCCTTGGCCTAGTCTCCTCCTCATTTCCCCCCCTAGGGTTGCCAAGTGGAACTTACCTTGGCGGCACGCACACCACACACACATCACCAGGAAGTGACATTATGACGCTGGGCACACTGGGGGCGTGGCCACAACCATACAAGGGAAAACCGTAGAGTTTTCCCTTGTATGGCCGTGGCCCCGCCCCCAGCATGCCCAGTGTGCCCGCGTCACTTCCGGGTGACGTGCATGTCGGGGAGGAGTTCCCCCTG